GTTTGCGAGGCCATATTGAAGTTTCTGCTGGAATATTTTATGTATTTTCCTGGAAAATGAAATGGGCAATCGATTTTTAAAAAAAATTCAAATTAAAAATATATGAATAGGAAATAAACAGGAATCCCCTAAAATTCATGGTGGGATCAGGTGCCAAGGATCGAGTATGCTTAAAATGCTTATTTTCAACAGGATCGTTGAAATTCCTGTAGCATCAATTTATATGTCAGTAGCTTGCCTTGGTTTAAAAACAAAGAAAGGTAGAAGAAAGTTAATCTGTAATGGGGCCCAGGCGATTGATGTTATGCCTATTCCTATCACAGCTCCGGAGCATTCCCATGAAGACTACTTGAATTGTAAAGGGACAACTTATTGATCCTGCAGGACACATGTTTGCGCGACCACGGCTATATTTTTATAATTTAGAGACATAAACATGTTTGCCAGAAAGGGTGCAAGATGCGCACGTTTTTTGCAAATTCAAATTTATCTCAAAAGACACAGGAGATATAGTGTGGATCCTTGTTTTCAGAGTTGAAAAGGCCATTTGTGAAAAGTACTTTGCTAGAACAACCTAGCATATCTTTTAAAGACTTTAAAGCAGTACCCTTATCAAAACTCAAATTACTTCCAGCTGTCCTTGAAGTACAGCAAAGATGACCATAAAAATCAATTTTTTTTATGTTTTGCTTTCTAGCCGCCATGCTGACAGACTGAAATCATACACACAACAATGTATAAACAACCACAACAACACTTAAAATGTAGATGTATGCAATAAACAAAACAAAATACATACATAAGTTAATTTGCTGCGTGTTCATGCGACAAAATTTACACACATGAACTAATAATTTGCGACAACATGTACGCAAAAGTTAACTTGCACCTAGTCCTGACCAGGTGTAAATCTACTCAACTATGCAGAACTTACATGTGAGCAAATCAGTTCATACGACAAAAAATTGCACACTGAAGCTCTACTGGTTTGTACTTATAGCAAAGGAAGAGAAAAGTACTTCAGCAGTTGGGAATTGAAACTTAACAACAGCAATAGATAGAATAATGATCCTTGATAAAGTCTCTTTCTGTTCTTAGTGTAGTCTACAAGTTTGCGAAGTTATATTCAAATCAGACCAAAACTGTAGGAGGAGTAGCATTTTAAAGGAATTTCACAGAAATTTCTATTTTTAGTTACCACGGCAAAACCGTTTATTGAAATCAAAAGCTGATAAACAGAATTATGTATCTTAGTGTAGTCTACTTGTGTGCCAAGTTATATTGAAATCAGACCAAAAAAAGTAGCATTTTCAAAGAATTTCACAGAAATGTCTATTTTTAGTAACCACAGCAACAACGTTCATCGAAATCAAAAACAGATACAGAAAATTATGTATCTTAGTGTAGTCTACTTGTGTGCCAAGTTATATTGAAAAAAAAGGAAAATTATGTGGAGTAGCAATTTAAAGGAATTTCACAGAAATTTCTATTTTTGTAACCAGGGCAACAACGTTCACCGAAATCAAAAACCGATATACAGAATTTTGTATCTTAGTGTAGTCTGCTAGTGTGCAAAGTTATATAGAAATCAGACCAAAACTGTAGGAGGAGTAGCATTTTAAGGGAATTTCACAGAAATTTCTATTTTTAGTAACCACGGCAACAACGTTCATCGAAATGAAAAACTGATAAACAGAATTATGTATCTTAGTGTATTTTTGTGTGCCAAGTTATATTGAAATCAGACCAAAACTGTAGGAGGAGTAGCATTTTTAAAAAATTTCACAGAAATTAAAATTTTAGTAACCACGGCAACACCGTTTATCAAAATCAAAAACCGATATAGAGAATTATGTATCTTAGTGTAGTCTACTTGTGTGCTAAGTTATATTGAAATGCAAAACTTTAGGAGGAGTAGCATTTTAAAGGAATTTCACAGAAATTTCAATTTATATGTCAGTAACCACGGCAACTTGGTTTAAAATCAAAAACCGATACACAGAATTATCTTAGTGTTGTTTACTTGTGTGCCAAGTTAAATTGAAATCAGACCAAAACTGTAGGAGGAGTAGCATTTTAAAGGAATTTCACAGAAATTTCTATTTTTAGTAACCACGGCAACAACGTTCATCGAAATCAAAAACCGATACACAGAATTATGTATCTTAGTGTAGTCTACTTGTGTGCCAAGTTAAATTGAAATCAGACCAAAACTGTAGAAGGAGTAGCGTTTTAAAGGAATTTCACAGAAATTTCTATTTTTAATTCAACCATTTATCGAAATCAAAAACCAATATACAGAATTATGTATCTTAGTGTAGTCTACTTGTGTGCTAAGTTATATTGAAATCAGACCAAAACTGTAGGAGGAGTAGCATTTTGAAAGAATTTCACAGAAATTTCTATTTTTAGTAACCACGGCAACATTACGTTCAGCTGTCCGAAAATCAAAAACCGATACACAAATTATTTTTTTAGTGTAGTCTACTTGTGTGCCAAGTTATATTGAAATTTTACCAAAACTGTAGGAGGAGTAGCATTTTAAAGAAATTTCACAGAAATTTCTATTTTTAGTTACCACGGCAACACCGTTTATCAAAATCAAAAACCGATACACAGAATTATGTATCTTAGTGTAGTCTACTTGTGTGCCAAGCTATATTGAAATCAGATCAAAACTGTAAAAGGAGTAGCATTTTGAAAAATTGTTTACAGACAGACGGACAGACGGACAGCTAGACAGACAGACGGACAGACGGACGGACGCCGGACGCATTACTATCGCATAAGCTCTTCTGGTCTCTGACCAGTAGAGCTAAAAATTGCATATGTGAGTAAATTTAATATAAGTAAAATATACTGAGGTATGCAAATCATGTCGTATGAATGGGTTATTGGAACACTAAAATGTGCATTGTTTTGACTCAATTTAATTAAAATCAATGGAATAATTCATCATAAAAATATAACATTTGTATGTCACCCCCCCCCCCACCCCTTCTTATTAAACAATCAATGTCACAAACGGCTCTTACATGTACGTCTGTAAAGCACAACAGGCCTGACATGCGCTAAATTCAGTAATTTACAATTTACAAGTACAAAGAAAGAAAATTAGAGAATGTAAATGAAAGCATTGGATTCTTATTTTTGGATTTTTGGCACAGTTATTGGACCGACGATATCAAAAAATAAGAATTTGAGTTGCTTAAAAGTCTTTGCACACCGGTGAAAAACAAATCTTTTGCCTTTCATATGGCCATTCACTTTTTCTTCGTGATGAATGAACCAGGAATCCAAATCCAAAGATTAAAACATAGAAAAAGCCTTTGAGCTGAAACCCCCTATGTTAACAAACCTTGAAACCCCATTAGGCACAGCAGAATTTGGCCACAAAAGTTTATATTTCTTACAGAAATAGAGACTGTTAACGGTGAAAAAAGTTTTCATGGATTGTTCTTATATCAATCTTTATCTATCATCCTTAAAATGACCTATAAAGGTCCGCTTTTGAAAATTATAGAGAAAAGAATGTCAGCGACACCACAACTTTTTCCAATCAACTGAACTGTCCAGAAGAGTTTGCACAATCCGTACCGCTTTCGACCAGCCTATTGCATTAAACTGGAAGGTAATACATTCTTACAACCCGTGCGCATGTCATTTGGCCCCGAAGACCATATGTTACTTAACCGAAACCCTATATGTGCCCTTATACACGGTGCCTATGCACTCTTAAACTTAAAACAAGCTTTCCGATAAACATTGTGGACTAGTGGCTAAACCAAATGTTCAGCGGTGTTGCTGTGGCCCTACTCTGTTGACCTGAGATGTTTAGAGTCGATATGTGGGGTGTTGTGGGGTCAGAACAATGGAATGAATAATTCCAGCATTCCGTAGTCAACTCTGTGCAGTTCAGGGATAGCTAATGCTGTAGATGACGTCATTGTGAAACTCCACGTCTTTACGTTAATCTCAGAAGCGATCCTGTGCTGCTGACGTTACACGTGGTCTGCTTATAATATTGCAAACAGGGTGTTCCTTGTTAATGGTATACGTTTTATAGGGCAGATATGGTGCTGTGTGTAACATGAAAACTTTTTGCGATTGAAGACTGTGGTACACGTTCTTCGAGTCGTCCATATTCCTTTTTGTGCTTTGTAACATTCAGATGCAGCATTTTAAGATAGCGTCAATTTTCAGATAAAACCAGAATCAAAATATCGTGAAACCCAGCTTTTGATAGCCCCTTTGTGCCTTAAGGAATCGCATCAGAAACCAACAAACGAAAATTGAGAATTGTGCAAAATCTGGTCCATTTGTCTGTGAAATTTGTAGAATAGCTGAACAGTGAACAATTGCGTTAAAAAATAAGGCATTTTACTCGAATGAATCAGAGCCATCTAAAAACTAGAGGTACTGAGAGCGATGAGCTCACTAAATGATACCCCCCGCCTCCCATATGGTTTTAACTGGTGAAAAAGTCCATGTTTTCCTGTGGCCGGGAAACCCAAAATATGTGTCGGATCAAAAAGTAAAATAGGTGCACAATGGCAATATGTAATAAAGATTCTGTGAAAGTTTCATCAAATTTCATTCAGTGGTATGAGAGGAGTTGCGGATAAGAGATGGGTACCCCAAAGCGTAACAGACGGACGGACGTACAGACGGCTAGACGGACGGACGGACGGAAATACCGATTACTATATACCCTCCCGCTTTTCAAGCAGGGGATATAAAAATGTACATCAACATTTGCAGACAGACGTGTTCGTTTATCTCAAATGTGACAGACAAGTTAATTAATCACATGAATTTTCATAGTTTAGCATCTTCAGCAGATACAGTTACCTTTCTTTGCACGTTCATTATTTTATTCTAGTTACATAAAGTTAATATTCGTGTTCAGCTTTATCACATTGTGATGCAATAATCCATTTTCTTCGAAATAATAGTTCTTATGCCAGCTTTTTCAAGCCCAGGTATTATAATAGCTTAAACTTATTCAATAAAATTTATTTTCTATTTATATTTTATATTTCAGAGTATTGCTGTAAATGCAAAATTAATTATTAAATCACCAAATCAAATAAGCATTTTTTAAAATGCAGATTTTACAGTCATAATCTCTCTCTCTCTCTCTCTCTGGTCTTTTCATCTATTGCACTGACGAACACATGTTAATATCTGGCAAGATTTGACATGACGTTACAATGTCCACTTTGTCCTCGAGATGAAACAGGTCGTTGGTCAGTAGCTTCATGTTATGATTGACATCCTACAAATACAACAGAAAACAGGTCATTAGTCAGTAGCTTCATGTTATGATTGACATCCTACAAATACAACAGAAAACAGGTCGTTGGTCAGTAGCTTCATGTTATGATTGACATCCTACAAATACAACAGAAAACTTCAGACTCAATATATGTATAACCAACTGTTTTTTTAGACACACTAACTTTGTGTTTATTCCCCTCTTATTCATCACAAATTGATTTATAAAAGCATCTTTCATAATGGGAATTAATTTTTTTGAACTAGTTTTTCCCCCCAGATAATCTCTTTAAAACAAACTTAACGGCATTTTCCTCCGTACTGAAGAACAACCTTTTATGTTTGTAAGGCGCAGTTGTATATTAATGGAAACCAGAGGAATTGAATTATTTGACTTATTTTAGCTTCCTCTGGAGAGACAGTCTATTGATTGGTTATATATGTGTCCTAGCTGTAATAAAAATAAAGGAAAAGAAGTTTGAAAACTGAAGTCTTTTGTGAATTTTAAGATTCCATAGCAAGTAACTCCATAAAATTCAGTTAGCCACCTCTGCAATTAAGCTGTATTGATTGATCACCTGCAGATTAATCTTATCATTGTCTGCTCTCCCACAAACATTGTAAAAAGACAGCGTTCATTTCCTGCTGTTCCCACTTATCAATTCTTACACATTCTCAGCTTACCACTTTTGATATTTTCTGTAAAGGCAAGCGACTATTTATAAATTTATAATTGTTACAAAGAAAAAAATCACAAGCAGAGAGAACATTCTACAAATAAATCAAAAAGACCTTCAAGAGGGAAATACATGTAACATGGCTACACATAGTCTACTGACACATTCCTTTTACCTTATTCTGTTATTGTAATACTTCTTTCTTCAGTTGGCATGGTTAATGACCATGAGAGAGTTACATGTACTGACAGGCTAAAGTTACAATGATCAGTGTTGTAACCAGACAGAGTGACTGTGAACACTAACACTAACGCATGAATACAAACTTAGCATGAACTTGGTTGTGAACCTGACAAAGTTAATTGTAACAATAAAAATTTACCATAGTCTAGCTGTCTTGAAACCTAAAGAGCATCACTGAAAGTACAAACTTGCATGAACAGTGTTGTGACTTAGTGGTTCTAACAGTACAAAGTTGCCATGGACAGTGTTGCCAGTTACTAGTAGTGGTACTTGCAATACAAACTTACCATGAACAGTGTTGTGACTTAGTGGTTCTAATAGTACAAAACTTACCATGAACAGTGTCCAGACCTTACATTACTTATGTACAGTACAAACTAATGACCAGTGTTGTAACTCAGTGAGAGCTGTCAATCACACAAACTTACCATGATCAATGCCTGTGACTTGTGAAGCTGAAGACTTGTGTTGTGTAAATCTTTAGCAGACGCCAAATACATCTGATGTACAGAATCCACAAGGTGTCTGCGCAGACCTGCATTTTTCTCTCCTAAATTTTGATTAAACAATATATATATAATATATAGCAAAGTTTAGACAGATTGAAATGAAAACATCTGAATATCAAATGAATTAAATAACTGTGTTTTAGATTCCAGGAATGACTTGATTTTTAAGAATATAATATATGTGATTGACCTTATTTTATACAGTGACTAGATTTAGTTGTTCAGTTAAGTTAAAAGTAATCAAATCTCCTCTTCAGTGAAAAATCAAATGTTAAATTCACAAAATATTTATTTAACACCTCAGTAAGATCTGTTTAGATTTAAACTTTCAGGCAGTAAACATTTAGGCTGAAAACTGAATATTGCATGCAAATTTCAATTTAATACTGCATGATATGTCTACATTAATACCACTTTGTATATGTCTTCAAAAATCTACTTACTCAACTTTTTATGTAGTAAGCTGGAAACAAAAGAAAACTTTCAGTTATTAAACAGACAAATAAAGTTGCAAGTAGTACTAAATAAATTTAACACAATATGTAAAATTATACAGAATAACATTCCGATCATTTTGAATGAAGTTCACCAAAGGAAATTTTAAAAAATACAGAAAATATTCTTAGTTGTATTTAAATGTTCTGAAGAAACAAGGGTCTGTATTTCACACTGCTCACCTATGTCACCTTAACCCTCCTTTTCTTCATTACAAGATTTTACAAAAAATTCCAACTTTCTTCAAATGGATAAAATCTTAGCCTGTATTGTGCCCCCCCTAACTTTGTATCTGCACTAAGGATATCTGAGGATGATTGTGTCTCTTTATTCTACTCATTCTGCTGCTGTTCTTGAGAAGAAGATTTTTACTCTTCAATGTATACTGAAAGGAAAAAGAAATGCAGGTTAACATAATATGCAAAATTTTCTTTACCGCATGACCAAAAATTACAAAAATTGGACAGGTGACAATCTTGGTTACTATGCATAAAATCAACGTTCAGAATTACTTAACCGTTAAATGTATGACGTCACGTTGGAAAAGTGCTAAAAAGCCAAAAACACGTGCAACTTGATTACGACAAGTTAGACAATGATCTTTTTGTACCATTTTATGCATTTGAGGTATACCCATTGATTTTCAGTACTTTTAGACGAAATGCATTTCTTACAATCTTGTAACAGTTGACATGTACCTCCGACCCATTGTAGCTGAGGTTTAGTAAGACTTTTTAGCAAATAATCACATTTACCCACTCGACTAGTCTCCGTAAAGTCCATCTTTTTCTCATTGAACATCTGTGAAATTAAGTGGAAGATAGGGTTCAAAATGCCGAAGATGGTCTCTTGAACTAAGGGTTATCTTGTTGAAAAGGTTGAGAAATATTCCTATTTGTAGGATAAATACAATGATGAACTCAGTGCAAAGGAGAAACAAGACTGTGACAGATGCGCGAAGTAGACATTGAAGATGATGAGAATTTTTAATTTTCACTTCTGTGGGTATGGTCATATCAGTTTCAATAACTTACTAATTATGTGACAAAGTCTAATGAAATTTTGGTTACATTTTTAATAAAGATGATTTTAAACGTTAGATAGGAATACTGAAAAAATACATAGTGAAAATAAAATTATTTCACCTCTAAAGTTTACCCTGTATATATTCCCATGTAAATCTTTTATCTTCCTTTGTTGTTTCAACCTAACCATTGAAGGGATATGTCAATTGAATAAACTTGTAATTGCACTAATTAACTGACATGTTAATATTAGGTTCATTAGAGGCATTACTATTACCTGTTAATATTAGAATAACTAGAGGTATAACTAACCCATTAATATAGGCTTAACTAGAGTTTTTACTAACCCGTCATATTTTGGTTAAATCAAGATGAAACTATAGCCTGTTAATTTTGAGATTACTAGAGGTATAACTAACCTGTAAATATTGGATTTACACGAGGTAAAACAAAATTGTTTATATTGAGTTAACTAGAAGCATTAGTAACCTGTCATACATGGGATTAATAGATGTATATCAAACCTGTCATACATGGGATTACTAGAGGCATAACTAATCTGTCATACATGGGATAATTAGAGGTATAACTAACCTGTAATACTTGGGATTACTAGAGGCATAACTAACCTGTCATAAATGGGATAATTAGAGGTATAGCTAACCTGTAATACTTTGGATTACTAGAGGTATAACTAACCTGTCATACTTTGGATTACTAGAGGCATAACTAACCTGTCATACTTTGGATTACTAGAGGCACTACTTAGTACTAACCTGTCATACTTGGGATTACTAAAGGCATAACTAACCTGTCATACTTTGGATTACTAGAGGCATAACTAACCTGTCATACTTTGGATTACTAGAGGTATAACTAACCTGTCATACTTGGGATTACTAGAGGTATAACTAACCTGTAAATATTGGATTTACACGAGGTAAAACTAAACTGTTTATATTGAGTTAACTAGAAGCATTAGTAACCTGTCATACATGGGATTAATAGATGTATCTCAAACCTGTCATACATGGGATTACTAGAGGCATAACTAACCTGTCATACTTTGGATTACTAGAGGCATAACTAACCTGTCATACTTTGGATTACTAGAGGCATAACTAACCTGTCATACATGGGATAATTAGAGGTATAACTAACCTGTAATACTTGGGATTACTAGAGGCATAACTAACCTGTCATACATGGGATAATTAGAGGTATAGCTGGCCTGTAATACTTTGGATTACTAGAGGTATAACTAACCTGTCATACTTTGGATTACTAGAGGAATAACTAACCTGTCATACTTATATAATAGTGTTGCATTATGCGTGTACTATGCCTAAATAGTAGGCAGGGTTTGACACATGGTGCACGAGCAGGAGGCGAGTGCACTATGTGTCAAACCCTGCCTACTATTTAGGCATAGTACATGCATAATGCAACACTATTGTTATTATTATGCTGACTGTTGTAATTATTTATGCGGCAATCCATTTGAATTTTTCATGAAAATATCGGTGCTAACACAACGCACTTGCAAGAACTCATTCAAAATCTTCATGCTAAAATTGGTTACATGCTTAGTTATTTTGGTTACTAGTATTTTCTCTAAATAAGTCAGGATTTTCTGTCCAAAAGCAACTCATCTTTATTTTCTGTTTTGTTAGTAAGACTTATTTGTTTGCAGACGTCGATTCTCATTGATAATTGTCTTTAACATCCTTCAATCAAGCATCATATAAATAAGCGTTTTAATGACCCTACGAAATCAGTTCATCTAACGATCTGTATGTAATTAGTTTGAAACTTTGTTGTACATATTAATCTAAGGTTCCTTAGAATAATATAACTGTTTTCAAATAAAATGTGTCTATTTTCTCCTTCTTGTGTCAATTGTATAAATTAAGTTTATATATTTTATAAAATTCTACCAATTAGTGATCGTCTCTGTGGCATAATCGATAAGGCATCGGACTGACAATCTCATGGTCGCGAGTTCGATCCCCGGCGTGTGCACTGAAGAATTTATTTCAGTAAATAAAGCCATGCACTATTTCGGCATAGTATGTTTACGCTATATAAATCCTTAGACCACTATGCGAGAATAGTAGGGTATGGGCTATATAGAGACAAACTGACAGGAAGCATAATAATTTGGATTACTAGAGGTATAACTAACCTGTCATACTTTGGATTACTAGAGGCATAACTAACCTGTCATACTTGGGATTACTAGAGGCACTACTTAGTACTAACCTGTCATACTTTTGTTTACTAAACAGTCAGGGGTGTGACTGAAATCCATCATTTTTAAAAATGATGATTTCTAGTCATTAAATTGATTCTTAATAATACAGTCATTGGATTACCTCTGATATTAACAATGACTGTATTTCATTATTTTTTATCAAATTGTTATGGGCACACTTAATTATCTCATTAGTTTTACAGGGCGCACTAAATTATTTTGGTTTCAATTACTTGTCAAGATGTTTCTCTACACAAGGGTCTATGGCAGGATCGTGTACTATATCTAATTACTGTAGTAAATGGGTTGGAATAATTGACTTGGGAATGGAAATATGATGAAAAGAAGTCATATTTACAAAAATAAGAAGAACGTGTACATTATGTACTTACCTTAGTAGAAATGACCATTATCAATCATTTTTAAAAATGATGGATTTCAGTCACACCCCTGACTGCTAAAGGCACTACTAACCTGTCATACTTTTGTTTACTGAAGGTATAACTAACCTGTCATACTTGGGTTTACTAGAGTAAAGTTTGGGAGCTGAAGTCAAATGAGGTGGATCTTGCAGTCCACTTTGTCTTGTGTCCACTGAAACAGATACAATTAAATCCTGTCTTAAATGATTATTAAACTATTAAATAAGTAAAAGAATAAGCAGGATCTTTATTTTCTATTAAGTTTATTTCTTCCCACAAGATTTGAACATAGTTAACAGGCTCTATATTTTTTATTCTTCACAAATAACCCTGCTATAGAATAAGCCTGAATCTATACCTTTGATTCAATTTATTTTTTCATGCATAACTTTGCAATAGATTACTTGATATCACGATTACTTAATTTAGCGGAACTATTTCATGATGGAGGTAGGAATGAGGGCAAATATGCTATTGAATACAATGCAAGATGGATCATTGTAGAATTTATAAGGACAGATAACAGACCTGCTTACCCATATCATCGTTTCTCAGTATTTTTTATTAGATTTATGCTTGAGATTTGGCAGTTGCCAGTAAGATTTAACTTTCCATCAATTTTACATATTTTTAAAGAGAACAACTGCTTTTCTGATTTCAAAAACTTGGTTTAACAACATGGTCTTTGTCATTTTATAATACCACAGCGTTTTGGCAACCCGAAATCACTTAAGTGTTTGAAATCTTTCTCTTTTTTAGTGATTCAAAAGCATGAAACGAAGACAGATCATAACCAAAACTAAATGCTAATTCGAAATGAACATATTTTCGATTTCCATATTTTCATAATGGCAAATCGTGAGACATTTTTTAAACTAAAAATCCGTACAAAATACGGCGAAAACGTAAGAGTAAACAGGTCTGGGATAAATTAATATATTAATTATATATCATAAATATTAATTGATATATCTCTATTATTATTATATAATATAAATATTCCTGGTGGAATACCTTGCTAAACAATCGCTGAACCAGCCTTATCAATTTTTGAGAGGATCTAATCCTAAAATGTTACATTTTTTACAATATTTTCAACTAATTGGACTCTTCTCATTAAATTATCATTGAAAATTGTCATATTTTAAAGCTGATAAAATATTCTAAACTTTCCTTATTTGACAATCTACTATTTGGAGTTCAATCCTTGGTAATGCATTATACTTTCGGCATAAAATTGTTTGAATCATTCGATTGTCGATACTGTAAACAATGTCATGTGCCCCAGAAATCTTGAGAGATTTAGAGCTTTCTTGACTCCCCTACAAAAGAGCGGTAGTAAGCTAAATAACTGCAAGGTACTTGAGATATTACCTATTGGGAAATCCTTTGATTGGGGTATTTAAAAGTTGGCTCTTTACCTATGATTGGTGGCACAGTCAAACTTCATTTTCTTGAACCTGATGGGGCTGAGAAAAAACTTGGAGATATCCAAGGATTCGAGATGTTGAAGAAAGGTAAAATATACTGTATAGGGGATTAATTTCACGGGTTGTAATTTTCACATTTTTCTCTCATCTGACACGATCGCGGTTTCTTGAATTCGCGGAATTGGTATATAATAAAAGTTACCTCCCTTGTCTATATTTGTTTAATCCATACCATAGCTACATGTAAACGACATTCTTCAGCGTTGTTTTTATTTCACGAACAGGGTAAGTTTATATAAAATTGATTGATTGAATTAATATAAAATTAAAACAAGTGCAGTTATTAAAAGCACTACACTCTAAACATCAAATGACTTTCCTATATGGTATTACGATGAGTGCATGTGCACCCAAGATCTTCAATACAACGCGGCAAAAAAAACACTGGACGGAAGTAAATGTGTTTATGTAGTTCGCCGAAATAATATCTTCCACATCTTCAGTAAATTCGATATTTATTTAGATGATTTTTTAAAACCAAAATGTTGATAAAAACTAATATGCATGATAATGCAGGAAACAAATACACGTGGTAAAATTACTAGTAGTTACGCACGGGTAATCAAAACCCATGGCCCATGTGTTTTGATTGATGAAACATGTAGCGTTGGCTATTAAAACAGCTTTTGAACAAACACGAGTTATTATCTGCCGGTTTGAATTAAAGTAAAGCGTGATAATTAAAATAATTAAAATAATTGAACGACGAGTACTACTCGTAATTACTGAAACGACCATATACTGCATGTTCATGTATATCAACCTGTCGTAGTCAACCTATCGTAGTCTATTCTCAAATTTCCAAATAAAGCATGGAGATTATTGAAAATTTATTCACTGTTTCTTGAATTCGCGGATTTATTAACACCGTGAATATAGCGAATATTAACACCGCGAGTTATTTTCCCCCTATACAGTACTTAAAGAATATGTGGTTGGGACTTCCACATTCTTCAACATATCCATGTTCTTCAAGATACCAAAGTTTAACTGTATTGTTTAAGCAGGCTCTTTACATTTGATTAGGGGTATTTATAAACAGGTTCTATACCTTTGATTGTGTATGTATAAGCAGGCTCTTTACATTTAGTTATGTAACTATGTATATGCAGGCTCTTTACATTTGATTGGGGGTATGTATAAGCGGGTTCTGTACCTTTGATTGGGGGTATGTATAAGCAGGTTCTATACCTTTGATTGGGGGTATGTATTATTAGTTACAGGGTATGGGATGATACCTGGTTTCATACCTTTTATGAAATTTACTAACCAGGATCAGGGTATGTAACGGATGTAACATTTACTTGGTTAGTAAATTTCATACCTGGCGAGTAATACCTCGACCGGAGCCGAGTCAGGTATGAAATTTACTAATCGTAAGCCAGGATTTCATCCCATACCCAGGTATGTCACTAAAAGACTATGTAACGAATTTACCCCACCGATGAAACATTCTCGTTTCATCTGTGGTTTATAAAAGATTTTCTCTGCTAAATGCTTTGTCAGGCTTATACTGTGCCTATCATGACATCATGTTATGTTTGTTACGTACTACATCGACCGGGTATGGATTTACAACTGACCGGGTATAGATTTGCAACTGACCGGGTATAAGTAATCCACCTCCTTTAACCAATTGAAAGCTAGGATTTCACGGAAAAATCAACAGAGATGGGGTAAAAGCAGGTTCTATCCCTTTGATTGGGGGTATGTATAAGCAGGTTCTATACCTTTGATTGGGGGTATTTCTTCATCCTCTGATTCTGAAGCCTCTCCTGATATAGATACAGCATTCACTTGGTCCTCACTTAACAGTTTTTTCTCCTGAATATAAACAGTTTAGTGTCAATTAGTTTATTAT